TAGAGATTCAAGATAGTTCACCACCAACACCTTCTCAAGGGTAATTAGAATGGGAATTAAGTGCTGGACCAGCCAACAATGCCCCATGCTTGTGACTGTATAGAAAAAGACTCCTTTGATTATCTTAGAGGTCATATTTCAAATTCAGGTTATTTGGCTATACTGACACGATAATGTTACACACAGTTTTTCATGTTACTGCTACTTTCCAGTGATTGTCCTGAAATGAGGTGAATTGTAAGCCATCCAGCTATTTTAATGTCGTATATAATCAGCAATTTTCAGTGAATAAAAGCAAAATACTGCAGATACTGCCAACTGCAAGATTGCCAGATGAAATCAGCTTCTTTTTCTCTCTTCACAGATGCTGCCAGACCTATCGAGTTTCTTCTGGATTGTGCTTGATTGAATTTTCAATGAAATTTTATATAATTACTTCTGCTCATCCTACCTTCAAAATCAATGCTGTATTGAGTTAAATTCAACCATAAATTAGACCAGTTGTTCTGTGGAGAATTTATACAAAAGTCAGGGAAAAAAAAAAAGAGTATCCTGCAGTGAACATAAAACAGATCATGAGATGTGTAGTCAATGCACAGTTAATTAATTTCGATTCTCGATTTCCTCACAAATTTTAAAATAGATTGTACAATTAAAACTCTGTGGGAGTGTGATGACAATTACATCTTAAAGAAAATCTAATCAAACCAATTTCACAAGATTATTTTGAGAACTTTCATTTTATGACTGTTGACTGGATCTGGGATCAAATTATCATTAAGGAATTCATCAAAACACAGCAGTGCAACAATACAATGCTGCATTCAGTCAATGTTTACATAGGGTAGCAAAACAACAATAGATATTGAATAAATATAAGCGTTAAGAACAAAGCAATTTTTCTGTAATTCTTTCAGTTGGTTGGAAGACAGTAGCTGGGAAATTTGGATTTGAAGTATTGCACTTTATCTGTAAATAACTTTGATGAGTGGTTTCAGAAACGACAAAGAAACATAAGAACACAACAATATCAACAGGAGAATGCCATACAACTCATCGGGCCCCAGTTGAGTCCAATCTCCTACCTCATTTTCAGTTTTCCTTTGAACCTTTTACTCCAAAGAAACTGTATCAGCCTTGAATATCATCAATAGGTGAAGATCCACAGCCATCTGGGACAGAGAATTCCAAAGAGCCACAACTTTCTAAGTGAAGACCCCTTTTGTCTCAGTCCTAAAAACCTGACCCATTAACCTGAGACAAAGACCGCTGGTTCTAGATTCTCTGGCCTCCAGTCTCTTAAACATCTAGCTTGACAAGAACCCTCAGAATTTCATAGACATCAATGAGATTCCCTCTCATTCTTTTAAACCCCATAGAATATAGATCCACTCTACTCAATCTCTCTTTATAAGCCTCTCATCGCAGGAATTTTTTTATAATAGAATCCTTAGTGTGGAAACGGCACTCGGCCCAACAAGTCCACACCGTTTCTCCAAACAGCATTCCACCCAGACTCACCCCACTATTGTATAACCCTAATGTAATGGCTAATCCTCCTAACCTATACATCCCTGGACACCATGGGCAATTTAGTATGGCCAACCCACCTCAATTGCATATCTTTGGACTGTGGGAGGAAACCGGAGCACCCGGAGGAAACCCATGCAGATACAGGTATGTGCAAACTCCACACAGACAGTCACCCGAGGCTGGAACTGAACATGAGTTCCTGGTGCTAAGAGTTAGCAATGCTAACAACTGAGCCACTGCGCTGCCCAAATTAATGAACCTTTGTTGCTTCCAAGGAAAGTACAACATCCCTTAAGAAAAACAACAAAATCCAAACACACACCAGGTATGATCTCCTAAAACTCCATAATGGTTTTAAAAAAAGCTGACATACCTTCTATTGCTTGTTGTAACTGTATTCTAACTCTATCCCTATCATTTGTATACAAGAACATCATCATTTAAAACATGCTTCCATTTAAAAATACTTAAAGCTATTGAGATTACTCCTCCCATTTAACTTTTTTGCTAGTGATGTTCATATCCCATTAAATAAATGAAAATATTCACCGAGGGATATTTTCGGTGTTTCCAAGACATCTGTTATAGGATTCAGCTTTGCATTGCACAAAACCTTACAACAAAAAGTGGGCTTACTTTGATCAACATTCTCAAATGATGTTATAACTGTTTTACCATATCCAGAAGCAATGCTGTCTCTTTCTCGAAGAAACGATTCATATTAATACACTTGAATCAACGCAATTGACGTGTTAATGCCATACCTTTGTGCCGGATAGGTCTTGAACTTGGACAATCTGTTCCAGAAGTAGGGATATTGCTACTGTACCACAAGGTCCTGTTATGATTCTTGTATGTTCATTCATCAAATACAGGAATGTAAATGGGACTAGTGATCTCAATGGCTTTCATTAAGCATTTTGATGCTGCCACTGATTTTATTAGGTTTGGAGCCATGATTCTAACTATTTGTGGGGAAAAAAAAAAAAGATGTAAAATCATGAGTCCGTAACACCTTAACTGCCTGGCATTACTTTCCAAAAAATGGAGAGCCCAAAATAGCCAGGTACATTACAAAAAAAGCTCACAGCTTTGAACTACTCAGGGAATCTCAGCTGCTGTATCAAGAGACAAAAACAAAAGAGAAAAATACTAAGACTAGTGTGTGCTCCTTCTAAATAAACTAAGAGTTCGGAGGAAAATTTCAAACTGCGCACAGGAAAGTTGTTCCTAGACTACCAATTGTGGAGAATAACGACAAATTCTGAATACTTAGCAAAACTCAACAACTGATGAGCTGTCAACAGGCTCTGTAGCAACTGGCATTTGAATAAAATTAAGACGTACATTGAGAAAATTTGCATAAATGAAGTTTCAGAATTTCAGCAGTACACTTTTGTTAAATTTGCAAAATAACTAAAATTCACAATAATTGATTTGCAGTTATGTAGGTGGGCTCTGCATATCACTTTCTGGACTTGCAATTCAGAGTGCAAATATCTTTGAGTAATCACACAAATACTTATGCTTGGACATGGCACACACTAGACAGAAAATGACATATGCTCTCCTTGATTTGTTCATGATTTGATTAAAACAAAAACACTGTCCATTATCTCCTATATATTGCCATGAAAACAAAAGGAATGCATTCCTTTATCTCGATTTCATGCCATTTACATGAGCTTTTCCCTTCAGATTAAATTGGTATTATTGGCAACAAAAAAAGGGGAAGTCAATCCAATCAGAGATAGTAGGAACTGCAGATGCTGGAGATTCTGAGATAACGAGGTGTAGAGTTGATGAATACAGCAGGCCAAGCAGCATCAGAGGAGCAGGAAAGCTGACGTTTTGGGCCTAGACCCTTCTTCAGAAAAAGAATTTTCTGAAGAAGGGTCTAGACCTGAAACGTCAGCTTTCCTGCTCGGCCTGCTGTGTTCATCCAGCTCTACACCTTGTTAAGTCAATCCAATGTTGGTTGTATTTACTAGAAAACATTTTATCAGCCTGACACAGCATTTTTGATATTCCGCACCACAACCCCCCCTCCCCAACCAGAGCATAGATTGTGGCAAACTAGTAACATCATTGAACTAATAATCCCGAGATCCAGGCTGATGCAGTTGGTTCATGTGCTCAAATCCCACGACAGCATTTGGTGGGGTTTAAAATCAATTAATTAAATGTAGAATTGAAAACTAGTCTCAGTAGTGATGACCATAACATTATCTTTAATTGTCCAAAAAAATCCATCTGGTTCACTAATTCCCTACAGGGAAGGAAATCTGCTGCCCTTAACCAGTCTGATCTACTATCTGTCCAGATCAGCACAAAGGTAGGTGACTCTTAATTGCCTTCTGCAATGGCCCAGTAAGCCACTCAGTTCAAAGGTAATTATGAATAGGGAAACACACTTTATCAGTGACCTCCCTATCCCACTAAAAATTAGAAGGGTCTACTGCATCACAGCAACATCTGCCAAGATTGTCAGTGCGTCCAACATCAAAGCATTTCACTTCCATTTGGATTTAATTCTGCTGGGTCCAGTATTTTATCTTGCAGTTTGAATTGCTCACAAAGACTCACTTCAGGCCAGCTTGGGGCATTTTAATCTGTTACCTGACTTCTTGGCACAGGTTCATGTTTTAAAAGATTCCTAATTGAGTTGCTGAAGTTAAGAGTTGATAATGACATCATGAAGGCACTCTAGGGTTCTGAAGATGACTCGGATCAGACTCAAATGCTGTTTCTCACTCCACGGATGTTACCAGGCATGTTGAGTTTCTTCAGCACTTTATTTTATTTTAGATCTTGAGCGCTTTGCTTTTATTTGAGGGGCCTCTGGGACCTTGGTGAATGATGGGACCAAGAGTGTAATCTCCTGAACCAGGGAGGTAAAAGCCATGAAAAATACAGACTAAGAATTGAGGCGGGTGAACTTATGTTCAGAGAAATAGAAGGGAGAAGTATAAGAATAAAGTGAGAAGAAAAGGGAAGTGAATAGAATTTTTAGAAACTAAAACCATTTACAACCTATAGGAATGAATGAGACTTTACATATATAATTATTTACTCCCTGGATCAGTGGAGTTAATTGCCAGTCAGTAACAATCACTGCATCTTTAAAATGGTGCTAATGCTGAGAATTACTTGCAGTTTGTGGCAACTGACTTGCAGATGCAGCAATACGAATAGCACAAAGGTTAATTGTGGCTCTAGATATTTAACAGCAATTTGCAATACCATGGGGTTGCTCTTCCTCATTATAAGCTATTGACTAAATGATGCATCGATCAAAGTTTGCATCATTGAGGTGCTGTCATTTTCAGCAAAGTGATAGTGAACAGCATAGAATTTTTGCTTTCGCAACATCAATTTGTGTCTAGGCATCCAGTAACAGTGGTGCCATTGAGCAGGGTAAGTAATCAATCACACTGAGGTATTCTCACAGACAGCAAACCAGGAAGTAAAATGCACTGATTATCCTTCACTTTTAATTGAACTTGACAGAAAACAATACACATGGAATTAAATTAGAAGCTATAGAATCATAAACAACTCTTTAAAGAATACGAAATTTAACATTCCACAAATATAAGTTTGCACTATCAGGGTTTTCAGCAATTATTATGAACTTAGTGTGCCACTTAAAACCCAACTGCACCTCATTCTACAAGGATTCTCATTCTATGTTCATTTGTCAAGGGATTTTACAGCAAAATAGCATAAAACGACAAGTTTTTGTCACTTCAGTGATTTCCAATTAATTGTAGTTGGGGGATACTTCACGTTACACCATCTGCAGAATGGCACAGAACCACTCAGAGTAACTTTGGGATTTTTGCATTCAATTATGCACGTGCAGACTCTAGAAGTTGCACCAGTTTCAGAGGAATAGCGATGGTGACACTGATGGTTTTGATATCACGACTGTCACCAAACTTTGGGGCAATGTAGTTCCGAAAATTATAATGACTTGTACAACCAAATAACATATGGCAATGAAAACGGAATAAAAAACAATGCAAGCCTTGTAATTTATATGCTGCAACATCATGTTCTGTCATTTCCTTTAATAACCACTACAACTCAAATTGTATGGTGGCAAATTAGCAGGAAGTAAATTTTGTCCTACAGTCAGCAGAGGAAGATCAAACTTTATTAATTGAAACTGCTTGCATACAAAATATATTGCACTTCAACCAAACAATATCAACATAAAACCAAATTATTTGTTTTCACTACTATGTACAGAGAAAAATATTGCCCCTGTTGCAGATTCATATACTGTAAGGTCAATCTACCTTTGTTAATCATCTACACTAAGTTAACACAATAGCCCATAGTGGACAGGTACATAAACAAAGCTTTTTCCTCCCCAAATACTGTACATTCCCAAAAATAAATAACTACAAATCATCAGTTTGGCAACAATCTTCAGGCATTTTATGCCTTTCAAACAGTACACTATTTAATTCTTTACATTTACTCTTGTACATCAAATGCAGAGGTGTAAAGAAAAAAGTGCCCTCCCACAGTCTGATCAATGCCATACAAACTTCAGTGCAAGGATTTCTGATCCTTTACTGTTCAGCTAGATGCATATATAAGGAAAATCATGAAATCATGAAAAGCATGCATTCTTCTGTAAAGGTTCCCCAATATTTAACCACACTTTTTATCTACATAGATGTATAATACAATGCAACTGTCTTCTGCTCATTTAGCTTCCCTGATTTCTGCAACTATAGTAAGGTTACCCCCTTCTGGCAAGTTATATTGAAGGCACAGATCAAACAATATACTCTGTTGTAAATCTTTTCTTTAAAAAGGAGTTTTGCTAAGTGAAATGAAAATGGTTACATCACAAATGTTCCACCTGTCCACCAAAAGACAACGTGGACCATGTGCATCAATTGTGCACAAATGAGTTTCATGTCTTTGGCCTAAAAGGTTTCTCTAAATGACATGTAAGCATCCGGTTTGTATGGTTAATGAAAGGAAATTTAGAGAGAACGTCACTTTACAGGAATGAGATTTAAGATACTCCATTGACCAGCACTTGCTGGTTGTCTGTGGGACTCTCTGGCTTCTCCTTTTTCTGAGCACGCTCCTTGCCCACACGCTGTCGAGCGCTCTCACTGAAAACATTTGGGCTGTGGGAAGCTTTTGTCACGACACTCCTTTCATTATTGCTGTCAATTCTGATCTGGAACAAATTAGAAAGTGTTCAGAAGTGAAATGCTGCGCCCATAATATTTAGTGTATGTCGGAGGCAAGGCATAATGCTGGAACTTAGAAAAAGATTACCAAAATAATTGATAAGTTTAATATGGTTCTAATTTTAGAGTTCAGATGGCTCACAAATTTTCCATATATATTCTTCATAGTCTTATAGCTCATGGGTTGATACAGATGAACAGATTAAACTCGCAACTAGTGGAGCAAATGCTAGTCAATGTTATGTATTCATCTTGTTTTCTATTGATGAGGAGATAGCTTTAATCATACCAACTGCTGATTGCATCCTTGGTTAGTATATTTCACTGGGATAGTGCCTTCAGCTTTTCCAAAAGTTTTGTCGTAAGCCTCCCATTTAAAGTTAGGCTCAATACACATACCTTGCCCTGCACTAGGCCCCATTCTCCCTCATCTTTGCTTTGAGGCTCTTCTTTAGCTCTCACCTTGACCTTATTTACAAACCCCAATCTGTCTTGTCCAAATCTACCTCTGACTGCTGCCAGTGCATGTCTCACTCCATGTCCATTGGATCTTGTATTTGATCTGTGTGTGCATGATTTCACACCCTCTGCTAATCTGTCAGCGAGTGAGTCTTTAGCTGCGTTCCTTTGCCTTACTAGCTGTTTGCTCACATTTATCAGTCACTTTGAATTCTTATTTTTAACTGACCTTCCCAACTGCTGTGTTATTGTGTACCATCGATTTTTCCTGTGAACCAGCATTTACTGGATTATATTAAAAGGATGCTACATAAATTAAGCTCATCTGCCTCAAACTGTTTTGCTGTGCTGCTCTGTAATGTAATGTCAGTTCATTCATACCTGTGATTCCCCATATAGAGGCTTCCCAATCTTGATAGTGCCAGCATAAAGAGAAAATAATAAATAAATATTTAAAAGATGCTGGGGAGGAAAAGAGATCAAACAAGTGTGTTTTCAAAGAAATCTAACAGCACGCTCAGAATGTGGAAATTTGGACAACAAACATATTGGCTAATAAAATATTTCTCAAATTTCACAATTCCAAGCTTCCATACTCTGAGAAATAAACAAAAGAACACACATGACGACAATTCAAATGCTAAAGACCCAAAATAATTACATTTGAATTCAAGTATTTCAGTAAATGTATACATCAAGGATAAAATATCAGTTACTGGGTACAAAGGACTCCCAGCTTGTGCTTAAATGTGGCTGGGTCATGAGGACTCAGCATTATAATATGCCACTGACATTTTGATTGAACAAATAGCAGAAATTAAATGCAGGTTATGCAAATAAAGAAATACAAAGAAAATCTGCCGATTTTTGACTTGCAATAATGCAAATTGAAATTGCCGTACAAAGTCACAAGAGAAAATGGCTAGAAAGGGGCTTATGGGGTTCAAAAAGTGGTGGATTGTGTTACAATACAGTATGCATCTGATGGAAAACTAGAAAACTGAACAGCACTGTGTAAAATTACCACATCACAGGTAGCTAGGATCAGCAGACGAATTACTGATTGATTGGCAGAGGGTGTGAAGGCAGGGTAATGAATACGCACATATAAATGTAAGATTCATTGGACACAGAGTGGGACATCAGGTTAACAGTGATCGGGAAGGTAGGTTTGAATGAATCCCCAGAGGGATTAGGATTTGTAAACAAGGTAAAGTGAGAGCTAAAGGAGAGTCCCAGGAACCAAAAAATGATGGGTGAATGGGACTTAGCGTAGGCCAATGTATGTGTGCTGGTGTTTGTATGTAGCCTAACAATGATGATCACCGGAAAAGCTAAGGTCTGTGGGATATAGACAAGTTAAATGAATGGGTAAAAACTTGTTAAGTGGAACATAGTGTGGAAAAGTGAGATTATACCCTTTAACAGGAATAATAGAGACTGAACATTATTTAAATAGAGAAAGACTGCAAAAAGCTGCAGCACACAGAAATTTGGCAGTCTTTGCATAAAAGTCACAAATTGCTAGCATACAAGTTCAGCAGGTAATAAGAAAGGCAAGTGTAGTATTGGCTTTTATTTCAAAGTGAGTGGAGTATAAAAATAGGGATGTCTCGCTAAAATATACAACACACAAGTTAGACCACACACTGAATATTATGAACAGTTTTGTTCCCCTATTGTACTGGCAGCAGTCCAGAGAAGGATCACTAGGTTGGAGGGACTGTTTTACGAGGAGAGATTGAATAGGTTTTGAAAAAAATGAGACACAGCGTTATTGAAACATACAAATTTCTTAGGCGATAAATCTAAAACAAACACAGAGAACGCTGCAGAATCTCAGCAGTTTTGGCAGCATCTGTGGGGATAGAACCAGTGTTAATGTTTTGAGTTTAGTATGACTCTTCTTCAGAACCTTTCTTAGGGGGACTTGACAGGTTAGATACAGAAAGGTTATTTGCCCTTGTGGGAGAGTCTAGGACAAGACAGCATAATTTAGTTTGAGGTAGCCATCTTAGCTCAGAGACGAGGAGATATTTTTTCCACTCAGAGTGGAATTCTTTACTGCACAGGCTGGGTCATTAGGGCTAGACTGTTTAGGAGAGATGTTAGGAAGTACCTCTACACACGAAGGATGAAAGATGCTGGAGCTCTCGTCTACAAACAGCAGTGAATCATTTATTAATTTTAAATGAGAGATAGATTTTTTTGTTGAACAAAGGTATTAGGTGTATGGGCCAAAGCAGGTATTATGGGGTTAGGCCACAGATCAGCCATGATCTGATTGAACAGTTGAATGACCTTGAGGGGCTGAATGGACAAACTCCTGTTCCTGTGTTCTTTAACTACATTAAATTCCAAGGTACAGAAATTTTTCATTAGCAAGGGAATCATGGGTCATGGAAAAATTGTAGGACAGTGAAGTTGAGAATGATCAGCTGTAATCTCAGTGACTGTTGGAGCAGAATCAATGGTCTGAATGGTCCACTTCTACTGTGTCTTATGGACTTAAACAAGACTGAATTTAAGGGCTTTGATTTTTGTATGTATTTTATTTGCTATTGTCTGGAAATCTATAAATGCTAAGTCCAAACTTAACAATACCTAACATTCCTGCCTCTTTCTCAAGTTTCTGTTACTTGTACACTATTTGTACAGGTCTATTATAAACAGGTCTATATTTCCTGCACTAAAAAAAAACAGCAAATGTTCACTTTGGGTCTGTTGGAGTTAATATTTAATACTTGTTTATTTGAGAAAGTAAACAATGGCCAGTATTATTTTCTAGAGATAGTAGGAACTGCAGATGCTGGAGAATCCGAGACAACAAGGTGCAGGGCTGGATGAACACAGCAGGCCAAGCAGCATCATAGGAGCAGAGAGGCTGACGTTTCGGGCCTAGACCCTTCATCAGAAAAGGGGGAGGGGAAGGGGGTTTTGAAATAAATAGGGAGAGAGTGGGAGGCGGATAGAAGAGGGATAGAGGAGAGGATAGGTGGAGAGGAAACAAACAGGTCGAAGAGGCGGGGATGGAGCCAGTAAAG